TATGGCAGAACGATTACGTCGTATCATCGTACATATATACATACGTACGTCTATATGTTACGGTCATGGATACAGCACAACAACAATCGTTGAATTCTCTGTGCCGTGCATAACTACGCTCGGCTTTGCCTTTGAATCGCATCAATTTACGGTGGCGGTGGTTATTGTACACAGCTAATTTTAATTAAATATTTCTTCCTGTTGCTTACAACCATATTTTTCCATTTTGCACTAACATATAACTACAACAACAACAACCGAATAGCAGTAATGACAACCAACCAAGAAACGCGCCACATTCACATCAAATGTTGTACTGAGTTTTGAATTTCAATTTTAAAAAATTTTACACACACACATACGTAAATACTCCTATACATATGTATTATATGTATGAATGTATGAATATTCATACATACATATGTAGAATATTTGTTATACTAAGCGACCGACCGTTTTAACATACCTATCGGTAGGTTATGTGCAAACCTACATATATGCATTTGTATGTATAATATGTCCGTCTGTATGTTTGTGTATAGATGCATTTATCTATATATGTTTATGTACGTATATAAAGGTTTAAAAAGGTAATATTTTCCCTTTTGTCACTAATGTTGAAACTAATGCCTTTGCCGTTGCTCTAACGACGTTGATGGCGATGACGTTGACGTTGATGGTCTGTCGTTTCTATTGGCCCGTCATTGGGCAACTTCAAATCAAGAACAGTGGCGTGACCATATTTTATATGTAATTCTATTGGGAAAGATCTTAAATACTTAATCCTTTTAAAATGCCAATACTAAGACAATAACTTAATTGAGAGGATAGCTTAAGAGGGGATGTGTATACCTATGTTCAAGTACAAAAAGGAAATAGGACCAAAATTTCGAGATTTTCATTTAAATTGTTTTCTAAATGTTCATATTGAAAATTATATTATTATTTGACTCCGGTATTAAGCAGATCTAAACCATCGCAATTTATGTCATATATATATTATATAATATATAGGATTTTCCCTTTGTAGGCGGCTTTTGATTCGAAAAAGAAAACTGGCTATCCGATCCAATATCTATAGTAATTCCGTACAGCATTTTTTTAGGAATGATAAAGCAACTTTTTTAATAACGCTTTACATATTCAAATTTTTTAACTTTCAAATTATGGAAAAATTTGATTTTAGTAATTTTTTCAATAATATCTTAACTGTTTTCTCAAACCCAAAACTTAAAAGATTTTCAGAAACCAACACTTAAAATCAAAAGAATTTCTGGTAAACAAATTGGCATTCAATAATTTTTCAACACTGTCTTAAACCTCAAAAATAGTGGGTATACCTAGAAAGTATTCGACTTCTCCGGTATTTTAAAATGTCAGTATAATCCAAAATCATTGCAACTAAATTACGTCGCAATGTATGCCTTATTATTCCAATGGTCTTTAGTGGTGTTTGTTCGAAGAGATAAACCCAAGCCTTCCACACGTGTCACAATCTACGCATTTCACAGTTCGAATTTATTTTCTGATTGATTGATTATGTAATACTTGGGTACTCATATTTAAAAATCCGTTGTAGTACCCATTTATTTAGTGTCAACACCTCCACTGTGCGCACACTTTACAAAACGGAAGTATGATATGCTGTCATAGTGACAACAGGCAACGAGTGAACAGTTTGGCAAAAACACGAGCAAAATCATAAAGTCGCTAATATACGAAAACGGATTTGTGCATGCTCATGTAATGGGTGGTTCGAAAACAAGTTGTCAATAAAAATTAAGTAAAATTAGATTAAATTAAATAAAAATAAAAATAATAAAATAAAATAAAATATAATTAAATAAATAATTCTACTAAAATAAAATAACTACAAAATTAGAGAAATAGAGTAACAAAATCATCAAATAACATAGAATAAATAGAAAAAAATAACAGAGAAAACTCAAAAAAAATATATAAACCAATATATACGATTAAAAAAATAAAAGTAAGACATGATGATGACAAATAAAAAAGTTGCCATACTAGATTTTGTTTGTTCAGTTTGAATGCCAGCTATATAATATACTGGTCCAATCTAAACAATTTCTTTGAATATTACGCCGATGCTTTAGACAATAATTCATTCCAAGTTTCGTGAAGATATTTTGTCAAATAAAAAAGTTTTTCATACAAAGACTTTATTCCGATTGTTCAATTTGTATTGCAGGTATATACCACTATACCGGTCCGATATAGCCGATTCCGACGAAACTGAGGGAGTAGCTCGTCAGGCTGATCATTTATATATATATTTAATAGAGTCTCCGACATCTCCTTCTGGGTGTTAAATACAATATTTCGTGGAAAACTTAATATACCCTATTCAGGGCATAAAAATTATAGGGACTTTTTGTTGTTAAGCTCGATTTGGAACTAATATAATCACTTACTAGTTACTTGACTATATATGTAGCTACCATAAATAAAGTAGTGAGAAAAGTAGAAAAAATTCTCAGTTAAAACCCATCCTCATATTTCAAAAGAAATATTCGTTTTTGAACCAACCTATAACCGCTGTACGATCACCAGCGCACGTTACACGCTTAGAAATCTGAATTCTACAAAATTTACGCGCGATCGGTAGTGGTCAACGTGCGCGACCGGCAATGACGAGTGGAAATGGTATGGAAGTGGATAAAAGCAAAAAACAACTATTGAAAAAAATGGAAAAAACATAGGAGTCTAAAGAAAAAGAGAGATAAATAAATATGCAAATAATTTTGATTGCGTATGACCGGAGCGCTTACAACTTGTCGCGTTTGGCGTTGTTTGTTTGCTTGTTTGAGTGCGCACTCGTGCATTTATCAGTTTTAAGCGGCTTAAGCAAATACAGTATGTGCAATAAATATATGGACGGGAGGTACTTATATATACACATAAGTGTGTATGTATGTATATCAATAAGTTGTGCACAATTGCAGTTGGTTTATTATCAGTATGCTGATTTTTAGATGGGGTGACAGCTAAAGCGATTTGCCGTCATTTTTTTAAAGAATTTGTTGTTGCGAAACAACTAAAAATTACTATTTCAATGCAAACATTTAAACATTTTTTATTTACTCTAACTCCATACCTTTTCTTATATACTACAATTATATAGACAAATATTTGCGAGTATGTTTAAAAATCGCTAATATTTGTAGGCCTTTTCTGAAAAGTCATCGGTTTGCCACAAATTTCAAATTACATCTCATATCACATCCTTTATGTGAATCTTATTAGCGTCGCCTATAGTTTTTTATCCAGTCGATGACCTAATGACGACAGACCTACTTCTCTCCTCTATCACAAGCCATCATTCACTTTTGCAAAATCTCTAGAATGAGGAATGATCTTAATTTAGAAGAAATAAAGTCACATGACACGTTTCTAAAAGTACTATATTTACTACAATATAATATGCTGACTAATTCATTGTACATAGAAGGATTATATACTCACGCGACATTGAAACTTGGATTTATATACGCTACTCGTAGAAAATATACTCGATTTAGTAGATGAATTAGTGTATTTTTTGTGAACATTTAGTGTCATGTACATGAGTCGATTTTATTAGCTTGAAGTTCAAATCTGTGCTGACCCTCGGCCAGTCCATATTCAACAAAAGTATTAAATGAACAATTAAAGAATGATCTCAAACGCTGATACTTTGTAGTGGTATAGAGTTGCCAACAGACCTAACATCATATGTAAATATGCTGATTTAGAAGCACGTGTTGCATGATGAATTTTAGATAGGTTAAAGAAACTTACACAGAAAGGTTGAATATGTAAATTTTAGAAATAAAAATTTGTTTCTGTATACATAGAAGAATTAAGATTATAATAAAATATTTAATATAAAATTCGGCAAAGTTTCTCATGGATGATATCGTAAACCTATCTACAATTTTTCATTACCAACTCATGGTTTGACTGATTCCAGTTATAATTGCTCTAACTGTTGAAAAACTAGTTAGTTTAGATCTGTCCATAATTCTCTATAATTAAAAACTGAGAGGATACATTAATATTATTGGTTTATGTACACAAGCTTGGCCCGACAAAAAAAACATAACAGGAAAAATGGCCAAATTAGCCTTTTCATGGTAAAGAGCGTGGCTAATTAAAAACCGACATGCGGTTACGTTGCAAATGATAAAACCATTTTCTGAATCCAGTTACCAGGACTCAATCGACCATTTAATAAACTTTTAAAATTATTTCAGAATCTCACCTACTCTCAGTCAAATTTTTATTTGCCATAGCAACCCTTTTCAAAATCATTTCGACACTAAATTGCTTAATGCTTCTGGGAAAATTCATTTTCAGCGCATTCTAAACGCATTGCAATTGACAACCCTCTGTGAGAGTAATAAAAGAATTGGAGTTAAAATTGCACGCCGCTAATGGATGAAACTATTAAATACATATCAACATACATGGAATAGTTCTGTACAGAGTAGAAGAGATGAAGACTACTTCGCTGACATTGGAGCAGATAAATAAAGAAATAGTATCTATGTATAACCTTGTGTATCTCCCATGGGAAATTTTCACCCTGAAAATTTTTTATATTGTATGTTTGAAGAATTATAATAGATGTCACTACATTAGTACTGTAGGAGCAACTCTCTTTAATATTTTAAGGGGCACACGTAGTGTGACAGCCTAAAAAACGAATTGCGGGAGTTAAAAACAAAAAAACTACTTTATCAATATTTTAATATTTTACAAATACACAGTATAATGTTTGAGAAAATAAAGTATATATTTTTCGACTCCGACGGAGATAAAAAAATGTTCTCCACTTTGCAGTAATTCCGTCATTCTCCGTGAATGAAACCCATAAAAAGATATTCTCACTAGAAGATATTGGTGTTAACAGCATTAAAAAGAATAATCCTCCTGGGAGTTTGTTGCAAGAATTATTAATAAATATAACAGTTATAACTTTTATTTTCTACTTTCAGATAATGTCGACTCGAACCACGACGACACATGCCTGTCCAACAACGACCACGCCCACATATCTTACCCCTTCACCACCCAGCATTATGCATACACACTTAGCAACAACGGTGGGAATGTCTAATTTTAGTACGAGTAATGTTAATGATAACCGCCCAACAACAAACACCATTCGACAGCACACGACCCTCCTTAATACGTTGTATACACAAGCGGAGAGCATCAGTTGGCGTTTGCGCCAGTATTGCATAGAGGCCATAACAGCGAATAGCAGGCGAAGAAGAAGAAGGCGTGATGATATTAACAACAACAACAACTACAGCAATAGCAACTATGCAACGAACTGCAGTGGCAGTAATTGCATTCAAACCAACAGTAACAACATCAACAACAACAGTTTCACATATAGCACGCCTTTGAATGCGGCGCTGCCTGACGCTGATTATTATGACCACAACAACAATAACAGCTACATGTGTACCAATAACAATAATAATATTAGCAGCAGAAATAATAGAAACTTAAGTAAAGCAACAACAACAATGCTAAGTTCACCTGTAATACAAGTCTTCAATGTGATTGCGCAAAGCTTAAGTAGTTCTTCTACAGCGATCACCTACATCACGGCCTTGCTTGTCCTCACCACGCTATGTTCCTTCTGCGCTGCCTCACCCTGCGACCGGAACAACTGGTGGGACCCACTAAAGGACAAATGTATTCCGTGTACTGTGTGCAAGGACGGACTGATACCATTGCGTCCGTGTCAATTTCAATGTGACACGATATGCGGTTCCATCTACGATCTGAAGATCGATTGGTTGGTGCTGGCGAAAACGGAGCCCAACTGGAAGGAGGTGAGTAGTTGAGGTCTCCACAGATTTTCAACTTCGTTAGATGTTGAGAGATTTAAAACTGAGTTATGCAATTAAAGATTGCAACTTTCATTCAAAAACCGTTAGTTAGTTCTAAGGAATACAACAGATGACATCAGCTTTACTTGAAATTTGTCGCTTGTTGTCTGAATCCAGCATCAATAATAATAACCTTGTTATATAACCTTACATTCTGCCCGAGATGGGAGTCGAAACCATGACATTCTGGCAAGGTCTCGTACTCAACATATTAAGTTACGGCGACGCTAAACAAACGATTTTGTTTTAATTCTGTCAAGTTGTCCTTTTTCGACTAGTGGTGACGTCACATTAGCAAACATACCTATGTAGTTTTGAAAGTTTTAGTTTTTGATAGGTATCTTGTTTAAGGGATTACACGTGTTTCACGGCTTCAATAAATAGAAACTCATGTAACCCCTTAACTTATTTCCCTTAAAAATCCTTAAAATTTTTGTTCTCAGCTGAGTTCCCTGTTAAAAAAATCGATAATCAAATCTGAAGTAAATAATTTTCATTTTCTATTACTCCACCAGCGTCGAAAGGATGAGGACAACTATGATTTGGAGCAACAGTTGTCACACGAGGAATTGCAGCAATTGCAGGATGGATCACTGCCGATGGATTGGCAGACAATGGCGCTTTTTATGGCCGTACTGGCGTGCTTAATTTTCTTCATCATAGCCGCGGGCATTTTGGTGCATCATATGCGGCAATGGCGGCGTATGGAGCGTCGTCTCGATCAAGGTTAGTGCCTGAAAATATGAATAAATTCCCTGCACACAACACCAACAAACTTAGTTGTGTACAATAAGAAAAATTAAAGATCTCAAAGAGTGAATAAGAGCAAAAATTATCATGGGTAAATATCATTGTGGGTAATTAAATTCTATTACCCGGCTTATGATTGCTATAATAGGGGCATGAAACTCTTATCCAAAATGCATTCATATTAATTACCAGCTACTTCTACTCATGCGCGTTTCGTTTTTATGAGCTCCACACACCTGCGCTCATAAAATGTTGTCTGATTTGATGTTGGCCATAAATTGGCACTATCTAATGCGTATTTCCTGCACACTGGGGAGTCTGTCGTAAAGAGGTACAAATTTATTTATTACTATTGTAAATTCACAATGGTAACTCTGCATGGAATTTTTTTACGATTATGCAGCAAGCTTACGAAGTTGCACAGCCAAACGCAGGCTAATAATTTATAACCAAAAAATTCTGTACAATCTCACACTGTGGATCGGATAGCATGCCAATTAGGGTTATCCTTAAATGTAAGAGACCAAACTTCCGGTAAATTTCTCAAACCGTTAGTGATATGGTCGAATATATCAAACACATTACCGACTGATTTTGTTAGAATAGTTATTATTTTGCTTAAGGACCACTCTAATGCATATATAAAGATACATAGCCAATCTAACATTATGCGCATAGAAAAATACTGTGTGATTTCGGTTGTCCGGGTAAGTATCCTTAGACACTGACCTCTACGCACGTGCAGCACATAAATATATTACTGTTTTTCTATACTCTCACTCCAAACTGCCTGCCCTTCGGACCCACCAACGAACTACAATTTCTTTGTAACTTTCTAACTATTATTCCGTATGCATTCAATCATAATTTATTCTGCGCACGTTCACCGCTGTTTTGTCTGTATGAGATCTTGGTAGCTTGGGTTCTAAGTAAGCAGTGATCTTTGCATTGATCTTTGGCAAAGAACTACTTATTTACTACGCGTACCCAGTCCACTTACGCCACAGTAGATAATATTATACAGTAGCGGCTAATGTCAGCACGTCAGAAACTCGTTTGTAAGCATAAATGTTGCCACTTATTTGTGAATTGTGTATGAGTATTTAAAATTTCTGTCACATACTCCTGCCTAGATGTTTCTCTAGCCGTTTGTTTGTTTACCTAACATTTTACTATTTGTTTTTTTCTTGTTGCTGGTGGTTTATTCCTTCAAAGCGCGTTCAACTGATCTTGTGTGTTGGCAGCAAGAAGCCTTTGAGGTTAACTTAAAGTCAATATACTCTTGTAAACAATATTTATATTATCTATTATTATTTATTTGTTATCATTTGTTGACAGTGGTGGGGAGATGTTATCTCCAAAGAGGTTTGGAACGTGCAGAAATGTTGGTTGAATTAAACAATGAACGTTAGATGAGGCAATCTGATATTTCATAATTCACTTTGCGATCTTGTACTGTATTATTTGCATGATAACTAAAATAAACCTTATGCGATAGTTAGAATGAGTTAAAACATGAAGTAACTAAAAAACAAGACAAACGTTAACTTTAGCTGCTGCGAAGTTATGATAGCTTTCACTGGAGCATTCTTTATAGAAGCTACTATTCGTATAATAAAGTCTGAAAACGTAACCAGCTAACGACCTGCATCCAATAGAAAGCTTTTTGCTAATTCTTACGAACAACCTTCAAGTATTATAGTTACTTAAAAAAGAAAAAGGATCGTTTATGAAGAAATTTATAATGGTCCGATTCGAACAATATGCTCGGAGATTGTAGAATTGCTTGGATAACAATCCATGCCAAATTTCGTGAAGATATCTTATCAACAAAAAAAATTTTCCGTACAAAGACTTAATTTTGACTGTACAGTTTGTATGGCAGTTATATGCTATAGTGGTCCGATATCGGCGATGCCGACAAATGAATAACTTCTTGGAGATAAAAGCACTGTGCAAAATTTCAAATAAATATGTCATAAACTGTGGGACTACAATATATACGCGAATTGTAGGGGCAGACGGACAAACGGACGTGACTTAATTGCCGCAGCTTCTCCCGCTGATCATTTATATATGTATATACTTTATAGGGACTCCGATGTTTCCTCTGGGTGTTACATACTTCGTGGCGAACTAAGTATACCCTGTGTAGGGTATAATAAGAAAACTTCTTAGATGCAAAATTTTTGTGAAATGTTCAAAAGCTTTGTTGTTAACAAGGAATGTCGTTGTTATTGTTGAAACAATAAAGAATATGTTTTAGATTTAATGGTAGTAATGAGTCGGAAATCAATGTTCGTACTGTTTCAGTAGAGCCGATAGCGTAGGTAACGGAATTTCATAGACTTACGAACGATCGTATACAACTTCGCCATAAAATAAAAAGAAAATATTATTTGATAAAAATGTGTTGTTAGCTTAATCTCATTGCTGGTTTCAAGTATTTCTATCCCCTCCTTAAATTGCGAGTTAATCTTAATTTTAATAGAGATCTCTGGAACCCCAGGATACATCATGACACCTAGCTCAAAAATTCAACCTTCTTAGCACTGAGCTTTATATAGAAAAGGGGAAATTTTAGCAATAATAAAATCTTTCACTAAAGCTTGTGTTTCCTTCAAGCAACGTATGGTTCTTAAATGATGTTGCTGGTATTAGAAACTGCTATCACAATATCTAAAATTCGCTTTATATATCAAGTATCCATCACGATATTTGATAACATGTTATTTATTAGGAAATTCTTGCTTCTTTGAGCGGGAGTAATTTTCACTCTAAATTCGTAAAAATTTTAAATTAACTCTTAGAATCGTTTAAGAGATTATTTTCACTTGATAATTTAAAAAAATCGATTTTTTTGCTTATGTTGCTAATATATAATATTCCGAAAAGAAATTGATCCGGTAAATAGTTTCAATCTTTGTATTTCTCCCAACCGGCTGGATTGGTCGATTTAGAATTTTTACACGACTTCCTTAGATATACTTATCAGGTAAGGTCTTCTTTTTGGAAAGCCGCGATTTTGTCAAAAATCAAAATATTGACTAGTCCTTGATCATTACCATTATTCATCTATTGTAATAATTTTTTTTTTTTTGATTTTGGGTTTAAGATAATTTTAAGCAGAAAAGTCTTTTTCATCGCCAGACATCGTTTTTCGGAGATCCTTCTGGTGATTGGCTGCGGGATCAACGGGTTCAACATTTTTTCAAAATTAATAACCGTTTTTTAAAAATCATTAGACTATATAATGTATGTTATTTTTATTTATTTATTAAGTAAGAGGGATCTTCAGCTACAAGCTTTTTCTAAACGCCAAGTCGATATAACCCCTTAATATCAAGTGAGGTGAGACAAGATAACTAATTTTTGCGGTTTTTCCCCCAGAATTTCATTGTCAAATAAAACTTTCTAAATTATTTGTATAATAAATATTTTATAGGGTTTCTTTCATAGAATTAATTGCCGTGAGGGCAGAGGAAAGCTTTTAGCGTGTAGGAAAGGTCAAATAGGGTGAATATCTCGTCGTGAGCGTACTAAACTTTGAGTGGTTCAACGAAATATATTCGAAATCAGCACTCACCTATTTAAAATGTGTATATAAATATTTACTCGAAAGACGAAGCCCTCAAATTCCGCAAAGAAATACTTGGAAAAATGTTGAAGCAAAAAAAAAAAAATAGTTTCCCAAAAACATACCACACCAATGGCGGTGACATCAATGGCGGAATACATGCACGTATGTATATAGTATTTGCCACCAGCACAAATTCAGAAAACTGCTTTTACAGTATGCTACTCCTGACGGTGCCTCAGTTCGGACTCGCACGTTCTTCCTTGGCCCCACATTGACGCGCCCTTGGAAGACAGTGCACGGCGTTGTTTGTCCAGCATAATAAATTAGTTGCGGCGAATTGAGCAGTATCGAAACATACACACATACCTATGTACTTCCATGCTTAAATTACTATTTTAATGGTTGGAAGTTTTTTCTTTATAAATAGGGCTACGAAATTCCGCAAACGATTTGTGACAACAAAAGCGTTCAATTTGAATTGAAATCGTATAAAGCTTACTATAAGGCTTACACATTTACAAAAAAAAAATGAAAAACTTTGCTGAAAGCAAGCACGTGACTTGGAGAAGGCTTGAGAAATTTCGGACGCGACTCATTGAATGAGTAGTATGTGTGGGAGTTGAAGTGCTTGAGGAATTGGTGGCTACTTGGTGGTAAACAATTTTTGGGTGCGCTTTTTATATGGAAATTAATTTTTTTTGAATGATGTTAACTACGTATTACCGTTCAATACTGGCAAACGTTTTCGATTTCTTATGAACCGAATGTTGTAAGTACAGGTTAAATTACTTTTCGCCAAAAATATTTTTATTGGCTAAGGAAGGGCTAGTTGTACACATGTACTTATATATACATATGTATGTGTATGCACATATGCATGTATGAATACACTATCGATGACGTGATTCGCTATCGCTTATTATTTTTCCCTGCAACAATTGTTATTAGCCTCATAATTGGTTAATGAGTTGTCAGTTTTTGCGGTCAACTTACACACTAATAAATGTGGTGATTAAAAAACTCGTATGATGATTTATATAATATTTAATTACTTTTTGCGGTTGTAAGCGCTCGTGAAAGTAACACCGATCTGAACAATTTGTTCGGAGATTGCAGAAGTTTCATGAATATTAATCTGTAAAAATTTTCGTGAAGATATTCTGTTAAATAAAATGGTTGTCCATACAAGAACTTGGATATGATCGACACGGAGGACTAAATTTACATGTGATACTTGGAGATCTATCTTAGCGGTCCCCTGTTTGGTTTAACATTTTTTGTATATACATATATATTCGACCAGAGCATTACTACTTGCAGCTCTGAGAGCGTAAAGAATTCATCAAAATACTTTATGACCCACTTGGCGTCTTAAGAAAAAAAAAAAAACGAGAAG